CACTCCTCGGAAGGAAGGTTGGGCAATCCTACTTCCGTAGTGATACTGCCTCGGAAACCCAAGGAGGGGTCGCTATGAGTTGGGGCCGACTCGACGGCACATAACAACAACAACATATATATATTGAATGATATTAGAGGGTAGGCAGCATACCCTCTCTGTGCTCTAGGTGTGAAGCCCGGAGCAGACTCTCACAACACCCCTGAGTTCAGAGTTTTGGAGCAGCTGCTTGGCCCATCTGTCCTCTAGCCTGTTCCCCTGGGTTAGGTCTGCCTTGGACTCACCAGCTCTGGCTGGGTCAGGGTGAGGGGCCAGAGTCACAGGACACAAGCAGGTTAGCAGGTGCTGGGCGGGGGAAGACATGGGGGCTGTGTCCACGATGAACGTGCTTGACTTGCTGGGGGCAAACACAGGACCTAGCAGGGTAGATGCGGATCTGGAGGCGAGAACAGTGCGGGCAAGGTGGGGAGGGCACTTGTCATGTCAGCAAGCTGGGACATCACTCTCATGCCCACTCAGTCCCAGGCAATGATAGCTCTGCCTCCTACTGGGCTCTCCTACTGACTCGGGAATGTGGCTTGAGACCGGCTCCCCATCTCCATGAGAGCAGGGACTGTCTTATTGTCATATCCCCAGCATGCCTGGCACGTAATAACCAGTTGCCATGCAGTCGATTCTGACTCATGGCGACCCCAAAAGCATCAGAGTGGGACTCCACAGGGCCTTCAGTGGCTGATTTCCTGTAAGTAGATTCCAAGTCTTTCTTCTAAGCACGTCTGAGTGAACTTGAACCTCTGACCATTTGGTTAGCAGCTGAGCCTGTTAACCATACACACCATCCAGGGACTCCCTGGCCCATCATGGGCACTGAGCAGCTATTTGTGGATGAGAGAGTGAGTGAGTAAAGGAACGGCTGTGGCCCTGGGGAGGGGAGATGAGAGACAGGAAGAGACACTATCCTCTGGGACAGGCCACTTGCACGCACTGACCAGCGCCTTACCCTGAAGCTGCGAAGGCAGTGTGTGGCTGGTGAAAAAGTGAGGGCTTTGAGCCACCAGATGGGGTTTTAGACCGAGGCTCTGTCACCTGCTGGCTGAGTCCATGGGCACTCACCCACCTCCCCTCCATTTAACTGTCTTCTTCTTGCAGAGGTCTTCATAATACTTTTCCCCGAGATGGTGGTGCTACCCTAAGTGGTAGCACATATTCTGAGGCCAGACCAGAGCGTGGTATACCCAGGGGACACTACTGCTGCCCGCCACTGGCCTCTGCAGCCGTGGGGGGGGGGGAGACCCTTCCTGAGCCCCAGGGCAGACACTGACCCATAGAAGCCCTTACTGTCATTTCCAGATACATGTCCAGTTTAGGCCCAGAGAGTTCTGGTAAGCCTGGTAACTGTGTGTGCCAGAAAATGGGCTGATGGGCTATGGCTGCCTCTGGCCGCTAATAGCCTGGGGCCCGGGCCAAGTCCTTTTGACACACTGGTCTCTGCTAAGGACCTGCCATCCCCCTGAGGGCACCCACCCGGGTGCCCCGGGCACGTCCGCAGGGCCCTCTTGGCCCCGCTGGTAGTCGCAGTGCCTGTGTGAGAATGAAGTCTCTGGAACTTTAATAACCGCAGTGGCCGCTCCCGGATTCTTGGCCGGGGCCCAGCTCTGAGCAGGCTGTGTGGCTGGGATCTGAGCCAGAGGCTACATGGGACCAAGGATGGCCCAGCTCCCGGGACTGGGCTGCGTGCGGGGTCTGCGAGGCGGACCCCAGCATGACACTTAGGGGCACACCAGCCCAGAACACAGGCTCCCACTTAGAGTCCACAGCCCCTCCAGGGACCCCCTGTCTAATCAGGATGGGTCTCCAGATCAGATTCGTATAAAGAGAACTTGTATAAAAAAGTGGATTTGGTCTCGCTAAAGGAGGAGAGTTTTCCGTCTGAGAAATGTTTGCCTCTTCGAGCTGTGGGCACCTGTGTGCGTTCCCTGCCTTGTTTGCGCTAATGCCAGAGAGGGGAGTGGGGCCAGGCAGAGGTCACACGAGTCTCAGAAACTGACACGTGCAGAGTCAGGGTGTCTGGGGGAGCGGAGGGCAAACCCAGAGCCTCCTGGGGCTGGGGTGGGCACGGGGGTTGTTGGCATCTGGAGCCAGGCCCTGTGCTTCTTCACTGACCACTGACAGGTACCTGTAATGCTGTGTTATGGTCGAGCCATCACCTGCACACACCCAGGGCTGCTTGGCACGAGGTAAGGTGCCCTAGAAACGGCATTTAAGCCTCAAGGAGCTCACATGACTCGGAAGACTTCCAGGAACTGTTTGTCAGCCCTGTGTGGGGCTTCGAGCCTAGAAGGCAGTGTGATTGCGGGGTGGTGCAGACCCCGACTACTAACTGAAAGATTGGCAGTTGAACTCCCCCCAGAGGTGCCTTGGTGGAAGGCCCTGGTGAGGGGTGTCTGAGAGTCACACCCTGCAAGCCCTACAGAGAGTTTAGAGCACGGTTCTAATCTGCTACATGGAGGCACCTTGAGTCGGAATTGACTGGATAGCATCTCTTTGGTGGTCAGGAAGGCAGCTTTCAGATCAGGAGAAGGGGAGCCCTGGAGCACTTACGCTTCATTGTAGTATATAAGCATCACCTGGGAAGTTCCTAAAATGCAGATTCCTAACAGTTTGACCTGCTGATTAAGCAGGTCAGGTGTGAAGCCCAGGAGTCCGCATTTTGTAAAACCAGTTCCCAGGTGATGCAATGCCCACCCTGCTGCTTTGACCCACACCCGGGAAATACTCTGTGGGGCCCGGGAGGCCAGCACCCTGTGATCTGTGTTGGGCCCCACATGAGGGACAGGTTTTGTTGTTTTAAAATGCTCTGCAAACCCCCTGGGGGTGTGTGGGAAGAGCACAGGCCGAGGTCTGGGCTGCCCTTAGCTCGCTCGGTGGCCTGGGCCAGCTCCGCGTGTTGGTGTCAGCAGTGCGTCTGTCTGCAGTTGCCTCCTTGTGCTTATTTCCAGGTTCATGCCTCCTGATGACCCCCTAGGCCGCCGTGGACCCACCCTGAGCAACTTTCTGAGCCGGAAGCCTAAGCCTCCAGCGCCATCCTGGCAGCATTGTCCCTACGGTGGGTGGCACCCAGTGCCTCGCGCACCCTGTTCAGGGACTGTGTCAGGGGCAGCTCTGGGTACAGTATCAAACACTGGCCTGGTGGTCAGCAGCCTGGGTTCTAACCCAGATTCTGCCCTTGACCAGCTGTGTGACCCTGGAGAAGTAACTTAACCCTTCTGGGCCACAGTTTCCTGACAGGGTGATTGGAAAGAGGAATTGAATTCACGGGACCATCTGTGAGGGCTGGATGCAGCCTTCCACAGAGGGCAGAGCTGTGTTCAGGAAGCAGAGAGGCTGTGGGCCCACCCAGACTTCCCTTTCTCAATCTTTCACCTGGTCCTCTGCCACCTGTGTCCTAATCTTACACCACCCCTTCCCACCACCCTTACGGACTTTCTTCAGTGAAGGATTTTATCTCTCCTGGGGTGCCGGCCTCCAGCCAGATCTTTTTTTTTTTTTTTTGCATTCTATGTTCAATTCTTGAATTTCCATTCAGCAATTCATACACATTTTGTTGTGTGACGTTGATAGCAATCCCCACACTGTAACAGCACTCTTCCCACCTCCTCCTGGTGTTTACCGTTTCCCTTCCTCCTCCTTTCTTGTGCCTTCTGAGCTTTATCCCTGGACAAATGCTGCCCTTTTGATGTCATGTGGTTGATTGTTCTAAGGAGTGGTGCCTCTCTGGTGGTATTGTTCACTGGCCTAAGGCATTTGACTGCTAACCAGAATGACGGTTCAAACCCCACCAGCCACTCTGTGGAAGGAAGAGGAGGCAATCTACTTCCGTAAAGATCTACCGCCTCGGAAACCCAATGGGGGTCGCTATGAGTCAGAATCGACTTGATAGCAGTGAGGTTTTTTTTTTTTTTTAGGCTGAAAGTTGAGCCACAGGGGTGAGTTCAGCTCCAGGTTTGAAGGATTCGAAGGGCCATAGCCTTGGGGGTTCCACGAGTCTCTATCAGAGCAGTAAGCCTAGTCCTTTTTATGATTGTGAGCTTTGTTCCACACTTTCCCGCTCAATCCAGAACCATCTATTGTGATCCCGTTCGGAGTGGTCAGCAGTGGTACCTGGGCACCATCTAGTTCTTCTAGTCTTACAGTCGTGAAGGCTGGGTTCGTGTGGTCCATTAGTCCTTTGGACAAATTATTTCCTTGAGTCTTTGATTTTCATCACTCTTTGCTGTGGATGGGGAAAGACCAAAGTTGCACCTTAGAAGCGTGGCTCAGGAGTTTTTAAGACCCTAGTCACTATTTGGGAGCTCTGGTAGCATAGTGCCTAAGGCATTTAACTGCTAACCAGAAGGCTGGCGGTTCAAACCCACCAGCCACTCCTCAGAAGGAAGGTTGGGCAATCTACTTCCGTAGTGATACTGCCTCGGAAACCCAAGAAGGGGTTGCTATGAGTTGGATCTGACTCAATGGCAATAAGTTTTTTTGGTTATTTAGTTGCTATTCACCAAAGTAGGACACAGAACACTATCTTTGTGGGCTGTGTTATACCCACGAACCTTGATATCCTCTGATATTATGGTCCTGAGACCCCAGGCCCAGCAACTCATCCCCTTAAAGTTGTGTGGTGTGGCTAAGAACTTTTCATGACTTTACCCCTGTATGTTCTACTATATTCATGGATATATTTGTAACACATATAGGTACATATGTAGAAATACCCTTTATTAAACCTATATGTATTTGTGAGTGTAGTTCCATTCACCTTCTCACACCTGTTCACTTTCCTGTCTGTGTACGCATCCATTCATAGATTACGGCTCTTACTGTTATTGCAGGATTGGGTATGAAATCATACTCACTTTTGTTGCCTTTAACTCTTGTGTTCCTCCTAGTGGCTCCTTTTGTCTTGATTATATTGTGTGACCTTCTTATTGTATATTGTCTCTTCCTTCACCCAAGTTAATACACGTCTACCCTCTAGCTGGTGATGCCAGATCTTTCACTAACTTTGCTCTGGAAACTTATGTAACAACCCAGGTCATCTTATTATTATTTTGTGCCAACAAAAGCTCAGCAAAGCCTTGGGTGGTATACGCCCAGTCACTTCTTGTAAAAACGGGGTGACCACACGTACCTCCAGGCTGGCCTGTCCTGCCCCTTTCACTCTCAAAAGTGCCCTGGTTTTCCTCAGAGCTGCTTCTGGGGGAAAAAAAAAAAAGGCACCCTGGTTTGGATGATAAATTATTTGATCACCTTTGTTGGCACTTCTGTAACACAGAGGGCAGTGGTTGGCACAAGGGAAGTCCGTGGTGGGAACGGAGGCAGCTTTGATGGGATCACCCATTGGACATCTACTTGCACCTCAGGGCCGGTCCCGTCCACAGGGTCCCTGGGAAAGTGGACGTCGACAGGCGTTAGACCCAGAGGTTTGGTCTTAGTCCCTGGTCAGAGGGAGTTCTCAGACCGACACGCACTCCTACCCCCACTGGGGTTGGTGCGCACCACACCACGGGGGAAGGGGCATGCTGAAATTCCCCTCCCCGGCGTCCCACCCACACCGAGTGCACGTCTCTCCCAGTCCGTGCAGGGCCTCCATTCCGAGGCCTTTCCGTCGAGTCAGCGGCGGCCAGGCGGCCTTCCGGGAGGAATCTCCAAGGAGCAATGGCGGAGCGCCATTGCCCGGCCGCCCCGGCGCCGCACGGCTTCTTCCCGCCCGCCTCACTCACTGGCGCCCTCTCTCCCCCGCCCCTTCCAGGCAAGAAGTGCACGTACGGCGTCAAGTGCAAGTTCTACCACCCGGAGCGGCCGCAGCGCACGCAGCTGGCGGTGGCCGACGAGCTGCGCGCACAAACCCTGGCCTGGTCGGTCGCGGGCGCCAGGGAG